TTCAGGTGAGGCTAGTACAGCTGCAGACCCCTCAGCTGCGTGGTTCTGTTCAGGTGAGGCTAGTACAGCTGCAGACCCCTCAGCTGCTTGGTTCTGTTCAGGTGAGGCTTGTACAGCTGCAGACCCCTCAGCTGCTTGGTTCTGTTCAGGTGAGGCTAGTACAGCTGCAGATCCCTCAGCTGCTTGGTTCTGTTCAGGTGAGGCTAGTACAGCTGCAGACCCCTCAGCTGCTTGGTTCTGTTCAGGTGAGGCTAGTACAGCTGCAGATAAAAGGCTGCATGTTTAAATCTGTACATTTAGGTTCAATATCCCTTATTCTCTCTGTTTCATTCATACAGTATGTTAGCCTCTAAATATCACGTATGTAGCGTGGAGTCTGCTATAATTCTACATTACCTGCAGATGAAGAACTAATGAAAGGTGTCGATATGTAAGAGTGGCCTCAGCAGAGATTAAAACATGTAGTTGATCATCTTCTCCTGACTCTGTTCTTCTTCTTCTTCCTGCAGAGAGAACTCCTCCACCTGTCATCAGAGAGAGAGGTGAGGTGGAGCTACAGAGACCTCTAGAGGACAAACACAGGAACTGCAGGCACGTTCAACTCATTCCACCTACACATCATTTACTTTGGTCTGATTTCTATGAGCAGTTTTCTACCTAACAAAACGTTACATTTAAGATTTAAGATGTTCAACACCCTCCTTTATTTCCCTGGTGCTTTGAAAACATGACGTTTATTTGATATGTTTACATGAACAGCACTTGAATATATGACACATTTTCAGTATAATCTCCTTAAAGGTGGGGTAGGTAATTTTGGAGAAACCGGCTCGAGTGCGCTAGAATTTGAAAATACACAACCGGAGAAAATCTGCCACTTCCTCACAGAGCCCCTCCTCCAACACACACGAACGCGCACATGACCAATGAGGGCACGAAATAAGTTTGTGCCCCGATGGAAGGCTGACAGGCAGGTAGGCCATCCAGTTATTTTAGCCGGGCCGGCTCAGATGATTGGTCGTGCTTTTTACAGTACCACGGCTTCCACAGATGAATTTTTGTTATGTATTTATTGTCAAAGCATTTAATATATTCATTGCTATCGGGATGTTAAGAGCATTCCATGGAATATAACAAAAAGTGTTTCTGAAGTGAATCACCTACCCCACCTTTAACTGATTGTATTATGAATAATTAAAGGGTTGTACGCTGTAGTAAAGTTAAACATGTAATATGTTTCTACAATGGTATCTTTTACTTTAGGATTTTAAAACACATGATTTGCTTTTAAAATATGATGATCTATAACTTGTGATGCTGTAAGTCCATTTTGCTGAAGACATTTGTATACCTTCAAATAAATAAGAATTTGAATGCAGTAAGCTTTATTAACATTTCATAGTAATGTGTCCAAAGTTATTGAGATGAATCAAAGTCATATTCATTCCTTAACTTTGAGAAAACAACTGACTCCAAAACTCTGTCAGATAAACATTTTAACTGTTGAACAAATGTACAAACAACAGAAAGAAAACAACACAAATGGTGGTTTCACTAAACATTTATTTACATTTGATGAGATTTGTTCACAATGTCTGACTCGTAGATCATCAGAAGTAGATCTGTTCCCAAATGTTTGATTCAAACTGACGCCTCCCTGCATCGTTCATCTCACATCAAAGAAAGGGTTGTTTGTTTGTTTGTTGTTCTTGATTCCTCTCAATTCAATTTCTATCGTTAGAATAAAGTGCCGGTGAAAACAAACAATGATTTGATCGTAATGACTTTTCTTGAGAAGCCTGTCCTCATCCTCCTCACCTCAGACACACTTTCCTATCAACATTCAGGAGGATTAGGGATGAATTATTCATAAATAAGTATGTCTTTAAAACTGCTTTATAAAGTCATAATTAGGTCATTAAAGATGTAATAGTATAGAGAGGCGAAGTCCCGCCCATACTTCCGACCCATGGGACCTTATTTCGGAAAATAATGTATTGAAGTCAATGGAGAGAGAAAGATTATCTCTCGATCCCGTTTGAATTGTGCCATGAATTACACATATGATGTTTGTCAATCTTAAATAATAATTTCCATGTCAAAAAAGTCACAGTTTGTCGTAAAACTGTTGAAATATAAGACTATGAAAAATACGCATCTAGAAAGACTACAAATCCCAGAGTCCCGGTCCCGCATGCTGGCTCTTAGGAACCGACTAGCTCCCCTTGTGTGTATGTACAGCTCTCAACATGCCCTGACTTGGAGTGATTTTCACCTCTTTTAATACTTTCCGCCTCATTCTGAAAGAAAGAAGTGAAATGTGCCAACGTGACGGCCGTCTGGGTGTGTGGTGCGAGACGGGAGATGTAGTTCATTGAGCGGTTTCACACAAATAAGTGTTACTTCACAGTTTTACGACACATTTGTATTTTTTTGACTTGCAAAATTATCTTTTAAATTGACAAACATCATGTGTGTAATTCATGGCTCAATTCAAACGGGATCGAAAGATAATCTTTCTCTCTCCATTGACTTCAATACATAACTTTTTCTAACTAAGGTCCCATGGAGCTCCTCCGGAAAGGGAGGGACTTCGCCTCTCTATAGTATGCCGATTATATAATGCTATTAAAAAAACATTTTATATTATGTCTTTCCAAAAGCATAGGATAGTTTGTCTTAAAAAATATAATTACAAATGTTCATGCTATAGCATACCATAAAGTTAAGAAAGTCAAAGTGTAGTATGTCGAACAAAGTCATATTATAGTATATTTAAAAGATAATAATAGTACAATTCGTCAAAAAAAAGTCATAGCATGTTATGTCGAAAAAATATCATGAATAAAGTCTTCATTGATGTATGAAAAACTTCATTTTCCCGTTAGTTGTGGGTCTTTTTGGGAGTTTTTACTTAACATTGTGAGGGTCTAAGAACAGAGGGTATGCTGTACACACTGTGAAGCCCCTTAGACAAATATTTAATAACATTTGATTGCTTGAAAATGTCTTTTAATGTCCCTTTAACAAACATGATCTTCAGCGGTTCTACCAACAGTCAACAAACAACATCCAGTTTTGTAAACAGAGGTTTTATTCAACATGTCTGTAAGTATCATGTGACGGATCACTGATCCAATCACAGCAACACCAACATGTTACACCAGCTATTAAAGTTTCTCATGAGTCCTGAGAGGCGTTGCTCTGTCAGGGCGACTGTCTCAATGACGTCTCTGAAGAGCAGTTTGAACGCAGCATTAATAATTCATCCCCACACACACACACACACACACACACACACACACACACACACACACACACACACACACACACACACACACACACACACACACACACACACACACACACACACACACACACACACACACACACACACACACACACACACACACACACACACACACACACACACACACACACACACACTCTTTAACACCCGCTTCACACGCCGTCCATCAAATCTGCTGCATCATTTGAATCCATCGTCCTCTTCACTCTGCAGAGGACGAGGCGCTCACAGAAATTCAGAAACAAAAAGTCAGGCTGCAGCGTGACACAAGACTTAAAAACTGGTCTCAGGTCAGCATTTCACTGGTAAATTCGACATGTAGGCCCCCTGATATGTGTAAAATGTCCATAAACTGTGCCATCAAAAACATCTTATGCGTGCACGATGGTGTCTTGGATGCATACGTTATTTTGTGGTGTAAGAAATATGTTTTATGACTAAAGGACTCTGTACTTTACATTAATACAAGAGTGGGAGTCCATATATTATCTGCAAACCTCCTGACTTCTTCTTAAGGTTTGTTCAGGATCTTTTAAACAGACTCCCCATTGTTATTCAATCCCTTCTCGCCTCTGTTAGTTTTTCACAAATGGAGGAGCTCAATACATTTGCAGATTAAAACACAAGAGTTTCACCCTAAATGTAGACATAACAGTTCCCCTATGTTCCTTCATGACCAGAGGTGGGAAGTAGTGGAGTACAAATACTTTGTTACTGTACTTAAGTACATTTTTCTAGTATCAGTACTTTACTCCACTACTTATTTTCTGAACACTTTTTACTTTGACTTCTTACATTTAGAACACAAATACCTGTACTTTCTACTTCTTACATGTTGAACACAAATACCTGTACTTTCTACTTCTTACATGTTGAACACAAATACCTGTACTTTCTACTTCTTACATGTTGAACACAAATACCTGTACTTTCTACTTCTTACATGTTGAACTCAAATACCTGTACTTTCTACTTCTCACATGTTGAACACAAATACCTGTACTTTCTACTTCTTACATGTTGAACACAAATACCTGTACTTTCTACTTCTTACATGTTGAACACAAATACCTGTACTTTCTACTTCTCACATGTTGAACACAAATACCTGTACTTTCTACTTCTTACATGTTGAACACAAATACCTGTACTTTCTACTTCTTACATGTTGAACCCAAATACCTGTACTTTCTACTTCTTACATGTTGAACCCAAATACCTGTACTTTCTACTTCTTACATGTTGAACCCAAATACCTGTACTTTCTACTTCTTACATGTTGAACACAAATACCTGTACTTTCTACTTCTTACATGTTGAACCCAAATACCTGTACTTTCTACTTCTCACATTTCCCAAACAGGCTGGTTCCTTTAGTTTGAATGTGTGTCTGGTGGCGTGATCATTATTATTTAGAGTCATTGCGTGCCTATTGATTTGAACACGATCCGTGTATCCATCATTTCCTGGTCTTCTCTAAAGAAGAGGGACCAATGAAAACGTTGTCATGTTGCCGTTGTTCAGCATGGAAACATTCATTAGCTAACAATGACATTATTGTTCTATTAATATAAAGGGAGGTCAGGTACTCTTTAAAACAGCTGCTAGTTATGGGTACTTTTTACTGAAGTACATTTCAAAGCCCTCTTTACTTTGACTTGAGTAAAGAAGTTTAGTCAGTACTTCTACTTTTACCAGAGTATTTTTAAACACGAGTATGTGTACTTGTACTTGAGTAAAGGATGTGTGTACTTTTACCCCCTCTGTTCATGTCTAAACACTCCTGTGTGTCTTCACCTCTTTTCAAAGATGAATAAAGAACATGTCAAAGTACAGTCTCACAGGTTTAAAGTCTCATGTTCTGTCTGTAAACTTTAAAGAGTTCTTCCTCTCCCCTCCTGTAGGGTGAAGCGAGCAGAAGTCCTCTCTTCCCCTCGACTCAGTGGAGAGTAAAGCAGGAACGTCCTGAGCAGCTGCAGGTCACCTGAACGCATCACCACAGGTCACCTGAACGCATCACCACAGGTCACCTGAACGCATCACCGCAGGTCACTTGAACGCATCGGTCACCTGGACGCATCATCAGCAGGTCACCTGAAGGCATCATCAGCAGGTCACCTGAAGGCATCATCTGCAGGTCACCTGAAGGCATCATCAGCAGGTCACCTGAAGGCACCATCAGCAGGTCACCTGAAGGCATCATCTGCAGGTCACCTGAACGCATCATCAGCAGGTCACCTGAAGGCATCATCAGCAGGTCACCTGAAGGCACCATCAGCAGGAAACGGCAGCTCTGGCAGGTTGATCTGCTGAAGAGTGACATCTTTTTTTTCAACTTTTTCTATTAGCTTTTCCAGAAGCTTTGAGCCTCAGATTCTCCCAACGATCAGCTGCTCTGCTTCAGAGAGGAATCTGAAACACATAGATCAGGAAATTCAGTCACGGGAAATATACTGTAGGAAACAAAGTATGGATGCATGTTTAAGATAGAAATCATGTATAAAAGCATGCACTATTTGGGCTTTTTATTACCTATATATCATGACAATAAATGCATAATCCACATGTCATAATAATGACATAGTATGAAACATTGAGAAGTTAATTTACTTTCTGTATTTGTTGATTGTTCTATGAGAGTTTTTCAATGTGAATTGCAGATAAAGTATTCCTTGCAATGACTAAATTAAATCCTACTTTCCCATTGTGTATGTGTGTGTGTATGTGTGTGTGTGTGTGTGTGTGTGTGTGTGTGTGTGTGTGTGTGTGTGTGTGTGTGTGTGTGTGTGTGTGTGTGTGTGTGTGTGTGTGTGTGTGTGTGTGTTCGTACCTGTCAGGTTTTTGAAGCGTCTCTTAGCCTCGGCTCTCTCCTCCGAGTCAAAATACCAAACAGTGATGGCGTACCTGAAACACAAACAACAACAACAACAACGCTGTTAAATAAAACTCTGGATTTTAATTTGAGTTTTCTAAGTAGTTTGTGTATATGTTTTATTTTTTCACTGCACTGTAATTCAGAGTTTATGGGTTTGTTTTTATTTGTTTTTCTTCCGCAGTTTTGAGCTTTGAAAATAAAACTTTTTAATAAAGTTTAAGTAGAACAATATATCCATTTGATTGCATTTGATCCTAAACTAAATATATGCTGCCTCCCTGTAGGGACAAAAGGAAGCTCTACTTGTCCTACGATAAAAGATAAAGAAACAACATAATTTGAGATGCTTTTTGTTCCAGAAGTTGCTTTAAGGGAAATGTTTGAGTGTAATTCCACACTCACACCAGCAGGTGGTGCCATTTCTCTGTTCTCAGAGAAACATTTGTATGATTGGGACAGAACTTAAATCAGATAAATCCTTTAGGTTGAACGTATTAATCAATCAATGAATACAAAGCAAGATGAAGAAAATGTCAATGTTTAAATTATACTGAATGAAATTCAATTAAATCTGATTCATTAATTAAATTATTGTTTGATTATCTGATTGGTTAGTTATCTGATTGGTTGGTTGTTCATCTGATTGGTTAGTTATCTGATTGGTTGGTTGTTTATCTGATTGGTCAGTTATCTGATTGGTTGGTTGTTTATCTGATTGGTTAGTTATCTGATTGGTTGGTTGTTTATCTGATTGGTCAGTTATCTGATTGGTTGGTTGTTTATCTGATTGGTTAGTTATCTGATTGGTTGGTTGTTTATCTGATTGGTTAGTTATCTGATTGGTTAGTTATCTGATTGGTTGGTTGTTTATCTGATTGGTTAGTTATCTGATTGGTTGGTTATCTGATTGGTTAGTTATCTGATTAGTTAGTTATCGGATTGGTTAGTTATCTGATTGGTTAGTTATCTGATTGGTTGGTTATCTGATTGGTTAGTTATCTGATTAGTTGGTTATCTGATTGGTTAGTTATCTGATTGGTTAGTTATCTGATTAGTTAGTTATCGGATTGGTTAGTTATCTGATTGGTTAGTTATCTGATTGGTTGGTTATCTGATTGGTTAGTTATCTGATTGGTTGGTTATCTGATTGGTTGGTTATCAGATTAGTTGGATATCTGATTGGTTGGTTATCAGATTAGTTGGTTTTCTGATTGGTTGGTTATCAGATTGGTTGGTTGGTTAAATAACTGGTTGGTTACCTGATTGGTGGGTTAGTTATCTGATTGGTTGGTTACCTGATTGGTGGGTTAGTTATCTGATTGGTTAATGATCTGACTGGTTGGTCACCTGGTATTGAAGGAGGGCTGCACCTCGTGGGGGTTCCTGCGGTCGGACCAGAAGAAGAGCAGCCGGTCGAACAGCGGCTCGATGTCGGCCACGAAGGACGTCCCCTCCGGAAAGATCCTGAGGACGCCTCCGTGCTCCTGATCAATAACGAGAGGAGAGAGGAGATCAGAAACACAACATGGACTAATTAGAAAACGTCATTAAAATATTTTAAAAGCCTTATCATTTTTGTGTTTCACTTTTTTACCTTTATTATTTTACATGTTCTCACAACTTCATTAATAATATATGTTGTTAGAACTCTCTTAGGTAAATTAGCACAACCGTAAACATCTACAGAGCTAAAATACAGCAGTTCTAATTATTAATAACTTCATATATTTGTGAAAAACTGTCAGGAAAACTCTACTTTTACTGAAGTTGAGGTACGAAAACAGTTTTTAATATCAATAACAATGTGTGTTACAAAGCGAAAGTCAGAGTGATAAACATTACTATTCCCTCACCAGACAGGAAATCTCACAATCTGACTATTCTGATATTGTAAATACGGCTATATTTGACTATATTTTGCATTATTTTTGTTTGTTATTATAGTTTTGGTCAGAGGTCAAGACAGGGCTCTGTAATGAGCGGAGGTCCCTGAACGCACCTTGGCGCTCCAGTCCTTGTTGAGGTAGTAGATGCAGGTGATGCAGCGGCCGTCAGAGTTCGGGTTATCAACGTGTTTCACGTAACCTGCCCCGTTTCCAGGGTAACAAGCAACCATCGCCTGGAGAAAAACACACAGTAAACACATGTGATCAGACTTCAGTATTTCACCTGGAACAATATGCAGTTTATTTGCATACAGTAGAGTATTTCAGTATGAGACTACAGAATCAGAATAATAAGGAAGTTCAGCGCAAGTTCAACCAGGAAGACCGTCTTTTCTCATTCATTTACTATTTCGATGTCACTACTCTCTCTCCTCTCAATAAGTGATCGAGGGCGTCACTCCCCAGCTTAACCAATCACTTTGCTCTATTCCCACAAGCCTATCATAGCGCTCCGCTAACCCTTTTAAATCTGCTCTCCCCCCTCTGACAGCTGTCATTTCAGGTGACTCGACGCAACCCCCCTCCCCCCTTTTCACCTCCTGTCCCTCTGAGTCCAGGGTCAAGCTAAGCCCCTCCCCTTCAGACCGACCACGACTACCCATTCACCACCACCAGTGTCTAGACCCCGAGGGGTTTCATCATGTGTGTGTGAGTGTGTGTGTGTGTGTGTGTGTGTGTGTGTGTGTGTGTGTGTGTGTGTGTGTGCATGTGTGTGTGTATGTGTATGTGTATGTGTGTGTGTGTGTGTGTATGTATGTATGTATGTATGTGTGTGTGTGTGTGTGTATGTGTGTGTGTGTGTGTGTGTGTGTGTGTGTGTGTGTGTGTGTGTGTGTGTGTGTGTGTGTGTGTGTGTGTGTGTGTGTGTGGTGTGCATGGTAATCTGCAAATGTTTCTCACGTTCACCAGGGGTGTGTGTTGTGGTTGTGTGCATACGGCGACAGTTGCACGTACACAAACTGTTAAAAGCATGCGTGTTCTTCATGTGTGTGTGTGTGTGTGTGTGTGTGTGTGTGTGTGTGTGTGTGTGTGTGTGTGTGTGTGTGTGTGTGTGTGTGTGTGAGCTCGTTTGTTCTTCCGAGAAGGAAATCCTGAGTTTAACTCATTGTTGACTGACAGTGTGTAATGTCTGATGACCGCTCGCTGCTCTCAGCCTATCAGCTTCCACTCCCTGTTCGGGACTAAAGGTTGCAGTGCTGCCCGGGGGGACAATTTTGTATTTGTTTATGCTTCCTCTGCTTCTTAAGAGTTGGTCAGTGTGTAACTTTATACCTTACAATTGAACCTCATATGCTACATGGAAAAGTAGAGGGATCAATCATCTTGTACATTCAGGAAAACCTTTGATTAAACCTTAAAATATTTTTGAAAAAAGTCATAGTATAGGATGTCATTAAACACTCACAGTATTTTATGGCAAAAAAGTCTTAATATAGTAAGTATGTTGCAAAAAAAGTCATTTTACTTCATGGGAAAAGAGTCCTTGTAAAGTATGTCGTACAAAATGTGAAAAGAAAAGTCACAAAAAAGTCATTATACAATCTGGCAACAAATCTAAGTGTACTATGTTGTAAACACGTCATTAAATACATGTCAAAAAGTCAACAAAGTATGTCGGAAAAAGTCAATAAAAGTCTTAATATGTAATGTTGCAAAAGTCGTTCAACAATATGGCAAAAAGAATATCATACTATGGCGTCAAGAAGTCGGGAAATACATTTAGAAGAAGTCAATAAAAAGTCCTAGTATAGTATGTCGTTAAAACGTCGTGAAAAAAGTCCTGAAACAGTTTTTGTATTGTAATTTGAAAAAATGTAGAGAGTAAGTCAAAGTACAGTATGTCGGAATCAAGATGTGAACAAAGTTTTAAGTGTGTGTATGGATCTCCTTGAAACATTGAGCACCTTTCTGATTGATCTGATCTGATATCACCAGCATCACCTGCTATCAACGACCTCTTGTTGTTCAAACCGATCCTCACCTCTGAAGGGCTCACATCATGTCCTCTTCCCTTTCCGTACAATAACCACAGGCTATATGTTATCCACATCAAACACACAGGTCCCTGAACGCATCACCACCTTTAGTTACCTCACTGACGTCAGCGTTTACCACCTGATGTCTGACTTTTGCACGAAACATTGAATGCAACCACTCCTCCTAACAGTTGTTTTTGGGATGTTTTCGTGCATGTGAGCGAGTCCAGAGCTGCACGTAGCGTCGATGACGACAGACCCTCAGCGCTGATAAAGAGCGTCTGACGTGCTCCAAAAACACAGAGAGGATGCTGGGAGATCACGCAAGTCTGTTTACACACCGCCACTGAAGCATGGACACACACACACACACACACACACACACACACACACACACACACACACACACACACACACACACACACACACACACACACACACACACACACACACACACCCACACACTCGTCGTACACTGCTGCACTTGAAGACTGGCGGATATGCTGGGAATGTGTGTGTGTGTGTGTGTGTGTGTGTGTGTGTGTTCTTATTGTAACTGGGATGACCTGTTTTCTTAAGAAGTTATATCTGATATCACACAAAGCTGCACTTGAAGACTGGCGGATATGCTGGGTGTGTGTGTGTGTGTGTGTGTGTGTGTGTGTGTGTGTGTGTGTGTGTGTGTGTGTGTGTGTGTGTGTGTGTAGGAAGTAAGGATACCGTAAATCATTGTGTGTGTGTACGTGTGTGAGTGTGTGGGGTGTGAATAATTGAATAAGTGGCGGAGTGTGTACGTGAGGATCTCCACCGCTCCATCTGCAGCTGGGAGGAAGTGATCACAGATAAACTGTAGAACAATGTTTATTTAAATAGATTCATTTCACTTGTCCGCTACATGCACCTGGTCTCCCCTCCCTCTGCCCCCCTCCCCTCCCTCTGCCCCCTCCCCTCCCTCTGCCCCCTCCCCCCACGGGAACTCCACCTTTCTCAAAGAATATGTACACTAACGCAGCGTCCACACGGCGGCGTGCGTTGAAACTCGACCAACAACCAATCACATGAATCTCCCGCCCCGGACACAAGGGCACGCGGTTTGATTGGCTAGAGCTTGTACTGGCATATGATTGGATTGGCTGACGCGTCCGCCGAAGCTTCAAAAGTTGAACATTGCTCAACTTTTGAAGCGAGCAACGCGTAGCGACGCTCCCACAATGCAGTTCGGCGAAGCGTGACGTCACCCCATTCAAAGTGAATGGGCAGAAGCGTTGAAGCTTCAACGCACGCCGCCGTGTGGACGGGCCGTAGCACTTGAACCTGAACTCACACATGCACGTGTGCAATATGTGGTGTAATGTGTTTTGGGCCATAACATTAAATTAAATATTATATATATATAAATTAAATAAACAGGATTGTACGGTTATGAATGCATTATAAGTTAGTTATGATGTAGTTAAAACAATATTGGATGATAGTCATTTTTTGTGTTTTGGACTGAGATACATTTGAACAGCTTTTGAACACAACACAACACCTACAGGAGAAATGTGGGGTTAAGATAACATAACATAACATAAGATAACATAAGATAAGAAGTACTTTATTGATCTGATATGATGAAATGTTTGCGTTGCAACAGCATAAAAAGACAAGGCGTTGTACAATAAAAAGTAAATGACTAGAAATAAACAAGAAAGTAGAAAATGTACATGTTGAATTACAAAATGTACAGTAACAAATATAAAGCAAGTTATTATATATACATAAGTATGTGAGGCATGGAATATTAAATATTTCTATTTTATTTTATTTGTTTATTCCACACATGGTAGTTATTTTAAAACAAAACATGTACACTTATACTGCTTTTTAATGTTAATTGTCTCGCACAAGGACATTTTGACTGCAGGAGCTCGGGGGAATCGAACCCTCTGATTGGTCGACGCAGATTAACCCCTGAGCCACAACCACCACACCATTCCTGTTAAAAACTCAGATCTACATTCCCAGCATTCAATGGGAGTCCATGAGTTCACTTCCTGTCCTTCCTGAAGCGTATGCTGGTTTCTAAAGCCTTGGCTCAGGGCCCAGAACGGGTCGCTGGACTGATGCCAAAAAGGCTTACATATTAAACTGGAAAGAGACTCTGCAATGACACCTTCAAAACGTTTCCGTATGAAACCGAAAACATCCGATCTATGCGGGTTAATGAGCAAAACTGACCTGAAATCAGCTGGAAAACTCAATGCAGCAAATACAGTTAGCTTTACACAGCTGTTTGATTTTGTGAATGCTACCCAGTGAACGTGATGGTTTAGCTGCTGTTGACGCGTCAGGAGAGGAGGTTTAGGGGAGGAAAGTCATCTGTAATGGGATGAACACTTGTCTTCTATGAAAGCCCTCACAAAAGATGTCCCCTAACCTGCCATCTGAGTCCAGAACAAAACCTCCTGAACAAGAAAGCAGAGCGTTGGAAAATGCTCAGGAAGCCAAACGCAATCGAAATCTGCTGCCAAACAAACGACCTGCTCACTATCACCGTGAATGAAACAGTGTAAATACAGAAAATGCACGTCAGCGTTTCCTGAGGTTAACCGTTCCAATGTCGCTCTAACACACTTCAGATCAATCCTGATAATGCAGACAACGATGCAGACCTGATGGAGAAACCCTGATGCTCAACAACAATTAAAACCAAACTTTACATATCCACATTACACGTGCATTTTAAAGGTTTTGCACACCACTTATCCACACATACGATTAAAACTCTTTGCGTGTGGTCTTTGATAGAAAAGCAACGTTTACAGCCACATGAAACATATCTTAAAAAAAGATGAAAGACAAGCCCCAAAAAGCTTCGTCACATTGCTGGTGTTTTATCTATCCTTCTCTATGATGACATATGAGCGAAGGGACATGTACCAGAAAGCATTTAGTGTCAACAACAACAACAACAACATTGCACAACTCAGTCTGTATTCTGACTCGTTTAGATTTCTGCATAGCTTACTGTTTAGTTTCCGTTCAATATCAAGCCTTTCTGTGTTAATCCTATTTAATATTAATTAATTTGTTGCATTTAATTGCATTTTTTTACTTGTACTTGACAGCTCAATAACAGATGACACCTTACACTGCACTGAACTTTAATTTGTGCATTATTCTCTATTATTTTACGCCTGTTTTTTTTTCTATTTCAGCTGGTTTTCTATTCATTTGTTCACGTTTGGCTTGTTGTGACTGTATTACATCTGACCTGTTATGACTGTATTACATCTGACCCGTTATGACTGTATTACATCTGACCTGTTATGACTGTATTACATATGACCTGTTATGACTGTATTACATCTGACCTGTTATGACTGTATTACATCTGACCTGTTGTGACTGGTAGTAAGCTATTTTATAGTATTGCTGCCATTTTAAATACATCTCCTGATGTCCAGTATTAGATAGATAGATAGTTACTTTATTGATCCCAAATGTCGAAGTTCTTGTCTTACAGGAGCATCAGTGTGTGTTTAGGCATTAAAATATGTTTCCAATGTCTCCCCCCTCTCTCTCACCTTGGACCTCTCGCGGATCTTCTTGCTCTCCAGCCGGCTCGCGCACACAGCGATCATCTTATCGATCATGTTGAGCAGGAAGTTGATCGCCTCGCAGCCGCGCTCCATCCCGCTCACCCAGGCGATCTTATCCCCGCGGATACTGCTCCGGTGCACCCCGGGAACAGAGCCTACCAGCCGGCCGTCCTGCAGCACCCCGGCCTGGTGCATATCGATCACCTGCTGGAGCACCTCGCCCCCGGCCACTTCCCCCAGGACCCCGTCCAAATAACAGAAGCCAAAGTCCTGCAGCGCCGGGACGACCCGCTCCAGAGCCAAGCGCTCCAGATCTGCGTCAGAAACGTGCTCGATGAAAGGCATTTTGCATCAAAAATATAAAATAAAGTCTGGGAAAGTGTCACTGTCAAAAATTATATTTCACAGCAGAATAACTTTGATTTTATGTGAAACGTGTCACAGAAAGAGTATTAAAAGGTCAGAGAGGGAGTTAGAGATGTTTCATTGGCAACAGAGATCTACATTAAAAGAGATGAGAGATCACTGACTGCTTCAGAGAGCCCGCGAGCTCTTATGGAGGCTGCGACACTGTCAATCAACAGGTGTGGAGGTGTACTACTTCCGGTGGTCGATTTCAAAATAAACGCAGGACTGCTTTGGATCCAAAGTCTAATCCTGTCCTCATTATGTTGTATTCTTTATCTACTCATTTAGCCAAATACCATGTTTTCTTCTTGTTTTTATATATAATAAATGGCTTTGCAAGAAGTGTGGTGACACAATACTTTAATGTATTAAGGGTGTGGGGGAAACTTCTGAAGCAATTGGAGTCAGGACTCAAAGAGAGAGACACGAGGAGAGCTGGAGCTTTGATGGCAAACACTGACGGTTCATTTGGAGCTTCGGCCGGAGAATTCACAAGACATGTCACGGGCCACGGTCTGACCACACGGTTGAGATGCCACCATCAATTCTGCAGACCCTCCTGTAGCTCCAAGTTTTAACTAGTTCAGAGTGTAATAATCAACATTCTTCAATAGATATACTAAACAGCTGAGGACACTGAATCACATTTGTTGTCGCTTATGGCTCGGGGTCATCTACGCCCCGAGAAGGATGTGTTCCAGGTGTCCCACAACAATAACTATCTCTGACCGAGAGTGGCCCGGTCACAAACTGGTAACAACAACAACTTGCTAGGGCAGCCCCTCCTTAAGGGAGATAGCGGCTGCTCAAGGGTTAGGGCATCTGCGTCAGAGGGCGAGAGGTGAACATGTAGGGCGAAATTATTCCCTGAAAAAGGGAATATGTTTAAGTATGTTATTAAGGGCTATGGTCAAATAACTGATTAGCTAAGGACAGGAAATGTATCTACAGGTAAGTATTATTCAGGAAATACATTTATCAATCATGAAAACTCAACATTTCCTTTAGCTTTCCTGTTTTAAATCCCTTTAAGCTGGATATGTTTTTGTTTTAATTAGACTTTTTGTATACAGAATTGGACATATTTGGGCTTTGATTTGAATTTTTGATGCGGGAAAAACATGCAATTGGAAGATGTCCTAATTTATCAAATTGCTGCATTCCTGCAAAACAAGAAAATGATATGATGTGCACATTTTTAGCAACACTTTTACTATTGTACACTATTTTACTAATTTCCATCCATGCATCTTGACTGTTACACTGATTTATTTGATTGATGTTCATTGTTGTGCACATTATGATTGCTCTGAGAATTGCTCTCTATGTTGACGTGTCTTTAAAGCACATTAGCAAGCATGGGCGAATCCAGCTTTCATTTTGAAGGCCTACTTTTGAACTTCCGGTTGCATTCTAGCAGTTTTACAGAGAGGGAGTGCGATGAGGGAGAAAAGGGAGACGTGCTGGATGTAATGTTTACTATGGCCCTTTCTCGTTTCTCTAATTCCCCTCCTCGACTCCTATCCTCGTGTCTTAGTCCTGCCCCCACAGGAGATGCGAGCGGAGGAGTCGAGGAGGGGAAATTAGTGAAATGAGAAAGGGCCTATGAGAAGGAGGAGGGGGGACTCCGCCGCCATTGAGGACAGCACGAGCAGCATGTAGTCCTCGTGCTGCCTCCCTCCTGTCCGCGAGGAGGTAAACAGAGGACGTGACGTTCACCACGTGCAGGGAAACACTGAGAACAGCTGGGCTGCTGCTGCACGGGCTACTAAACTCCAGGAACATGTTTTGAAGTCAAATAGATAAATATACTTAAAAAATATATTCTGTTATATTGACTAATTAGGTGTAAAACTATTTAATCAGTCACTTAATCCAAGTAACACAGAATAAAGGTGACCTAATTACTTTCAGTTACTTCTGAATTACCTCAATATCAAATGCAAAGCAAATAAATACACGAGAAAATACATATCAATAAGATGTTTTTTTTATGCAAGACAACAGAGCAATTAGAAAAGAAGACACCAATGTATTAAAAACATACAGTAACGGGCCGTCTCCACGGCAGCGTTAAAAAATCTTGAAACGCTTCTGCCCATTCACTTTGAATGGGGTGACGTCACTTTTTTTCGCTTTCGCCGAAATGCATTGTGGGCAGGCGAGCGGAGATTCTCAGGATTTTCAAGATCCAAAGTTGAACAATGTTCAACTTTTGAAGCTGATTTTGAAGCTGATTGAAGCTGATTTTTTAACGCTTTTTTTTTAACGCTTTTTTAACGCTGCCGTGGAGACGGCCCGTTACGGGCCGTCTCCACGGCAGCGTTAAAAAAATCTTGGAGGTGGGCGTATCTGAAGCTTGGGGATTTTTTTGCGATCAACCAATCACATGAATCTCCCGCCCGCGACATACGAAGCCAAAAAGCCCGAAGTAAACTGGATATAAACTCCCCAAAACAGGCGAAAACATACCACTGTCTCTGCCACCTCCCTCCATGCCTGGCTCCTCCGGTTTATATCCCGGTAGGTCTGGTCATAAAGCACCGGGTGATTGATTCGCTACCGCTAATTTCTCCTCCATTTTTTGGAATATGAGGAAATGATCTGCGGTATGTCTCTCCCAGCATACACGCCGTTTGATTGGCTAGAGCTTGAACTGTCAGATTTGCGTACACGGGATTTGATTGGCTGACGCTTCCTCCTCAGCTTCAAAAGTTGAACATTGTTCAACTTTGGATCTTGAAAATCCTGAGAATCTCCGCTCGCCTGCCCACAATGCATTTCGGCGAAAGCGAAAAAAAGTGACGTCACCCCATTCAAAGTGAATGGGCAGAAGCGTTTCAAGATTTTTTAACGCTGCCGTGGAGACGGCCCGTAAGTCTCTGGGTCCTCCTTTTATAACACACAGAATATGCTCTTTTTAGTTTACAACAATATAGTATTTTAATAGTATGTCAAAAAGAAGACAATCATTGCACGTAAAGGCAACATATAGGCCACATGATTCCTGTTTGAATGACAGAATGAGCCAATGGTGTAGATTACAAAGTCTGTAACTGTAACACAGTTACCTTTTTTTCTATCCAGATGCATGTGTTATGTTACTCCCTAAGTCTGCTCATATGATTTATATTTATAGATATTCTTGATGCTAAAATTAAGAGTGATGCAGGAATGAGTCATAACACCCTGAAATTAGTTGGTTCCCTCATTCTTAAAGGTGGGGTAGGTGATTCACTTCAGAAACACTTTTTGTTATATTCCATGGAATGCTCTTAACATCCCGATAGCAATGAATACATGAAATGCTTTGACAATAAATATATACAAATATTTCATCTGTGGAAGCCGTGGCGCTGTAAAAAGCACGACCAATCATCTGAGCCGGCCCGGCTAAAATAACTGGATGGCCTACCTGCCTGTCAGCCTTCCATCTCGTGCACAAATTTATCTCGTGCCCTCATTGGTCATGTGCGCGTTCGTGTGTGTTGGAGGAGGGGCTCTGTGAGGAAGGGGCAGATTTTTTTCGGCTGCGTACTTTCAAATTCTAGCGCACTAGAGCTGGTTTCTCCATTCTTACCTACCCTGCCTTTAAGTCAACACGTTGAACATGTTTTTGTGGTAAGATGCCTGAAATAAGGTCTGTGGTTAACACAAGCTAAAGAGATGTTCACGTTTTGTTGTACAACATAAAATATGTCAGTAAATACCCCACTGGTGAATTAAAAAACAGATGTTGCTAACAAGTGTCTAAATGAGACGACTAAACGTCATCACGCCGAACGTTAGCCTCCTTTAGCTTAGCGGTGGTGACGTGAAGTCATGTGACCGTGCTGTAGTTCCTTTATAGTCCAACATTAGCCACCTTTAGCTTAGCGGTGGTGACGTGAAGTCATGTGACCGTGCTGTAGTTCCTTTATAGCCCAACATTAGCCACCTTTAGCTTAGCGGTGGTGACGTGAAGTCATGTGACCGTGCTGTAGTTCCTTTATAGTCCAACATTAGCCACCTTTAGCTTAGCGGTGGTGACGTGAAGTCATGTGACCGTGCTGTAGTTCCTTTATAGCCCAACATTAGCCACCTTTAGCTTAGCGGTGGTGACGTGAAGTCATGTGACCGTGCTGTAGTTCCTTTATAGCCCAACATTAGCCACCTTTAGCTTAGCGGTGGTGACGTGAAGTCATGTGACCGTGCTGTAGTTCCTTTATAGCCCAACATTAGCCTCCTTTAGCTTAGCGGTGGTGACGTGAAGTCATGTGACCGTGCTGTAGTTCCTTTATAGCCCAACATTAGCCACCTTTAGCTTAGCGGTGGTGACGTGAAGTCATGTGACCGTGCTGTAGTTCCTTTATAGCCCAACATGATCCGCCTTTAGCTTAGCGGTGGTGACGTGAAGTCATGTGACCGTGCTGTAGTTCATTTATAGCCCAACATTAGCCTCCTTTAGCTTAGAGGTGGTGACGTGAAGTCATGTGACCGTGCTGTAGTTCCTTTATAGCCCAACATTATCCGCCTTTAGCTTAGCGGTGGTGACGTGAAGTCATGTGACCGTGCTGTAGTTCATTTATAGCCCAACATTAGCCTCCTTTAGCTTAGAGGTGGTGACGTGAAGTCATGTGACCGTGCTTCTGTAGTTCCTTTATAGCCCAACATTGGCTTTTTACCAAGTTAATTTTAGATTGACCTTTACTACTTTTCTGTGAATTGTATGGTAGATGCAGCTCTACTCTAATACTAGCTTCAGTTATTACTGTAAATATTATTGTCAGCTGGTGTATCAGTCTTATCAGTATTATTGTCAGTATCTTTCTGCAGCAGAGACACTTTCTGACCCCGCCTGTTGTGTTCAAGAACATCTGTAGGAGAAACAACCCTGTATCTGATTACATAATACTTAATAAGGGGAGTTTATGGGTTATTAAAAGATCAGATGTGTCACATCGCGCCCTGGAAACGGCGATACTCACTCCCTGGAGAAATGCGAGGGTCTACGTGAGGATCCACATGAGGTAATCGCCCTCCGATGAATCAGGATCTTCTGTAAACTGGTTTCAGCATAAACAAAGCTCAAAATAGCCGTGACACAGAGAGCTAAAGGTCAGAAAGTATAAAGAAAGGCGAGGTTATTTTGGTAAATTCTGCTTTTTTCTTTCAATTTGGATGGACGCCATTTGTATGACTGCAGCTATGCAATGTTTTCACCTATAAATACATTTTCACACACCTAATTTTACATATATTTGGGTTATATTGGCACTCTTTCCTACTTGCAACTCCTTTGAATATCAGGGGATTTTTTTAGATCCGACAGTATTTTATATGTGTTTTTGCTGACATGACGGCGGTTCAAACTCCAGTAGCAGCTTGTTTTGTGTACGTGAGAAAAGCTTCATAGTCTCAGTTAACCAGTAACCAGGCCTCTTGTTTCCATTTGATCCGCTGCCACAGAGAAAGGGAAGGAACGATTCCTTGGAAGTCAGTTGTAATCAGAGAGAAGCCGTTGACACGTGAGTGATGGCTTTTTAATAAGGAATGGAGATTCAAGCTGCTGATAGCTGATAATAAGGAGATCATAGTTTAGGATGCCCATAATGTGTCATGTTCAGATACAGCATTTGCTTTGTTTAGTTCTTTCGTATAAATTAAGTGTCTTTTGCTAATGTTCAGTTGAAAAAATATATTAAAAATACAAACTATGTCACAGCTATTTTGATTTGTTTTCAAAAATAGTTTGTTTACTATATGCATAGGATTTACACATCCTCTCTCAGTATACATCCTGATAAATAATACACATTTCTTAATGTGGGGTTTTCAAATTGTCATTGTTTTGCAGACCATGGATAAGATTTGATTAACAGCAACAAACTGTATGTTATACTTTTGTAAGAGCAAAACACAAAAAGTGGTAATTCTTAACATGTAAACCACATGTGTCAAACTCAAGGCCCGGGGGCCAAATCAGGCCCTTGGTGGATTTCATTTCGGCCCGCAGGATAATTCCTAATTCCTATTAGATCTGGCCCTCCGGCATATTGCACGCACACCTTCACTCCATCCTGAGGGTCTCCTCAGCTCAGAGCCTGAGCCCAAACATTGATGACCTTGCACCCAAGATGAGATGCCAAGTATCTGAACTAGCATCACAGAGCAGCACACTGAGTTTACATGGATGTTTCCCTGAATTCAGTATTTGATATATGATCTAGAAATGTTGCACTACATATAACGTGAAACAATATTTATTGTTACTTTAACTATATGTTGATGCCAGAGAATGGACATTCTTTAAAGTTCTAACCTAATAAATAAATCAACTTAATTGTTTGCTTGAAGCTTCTTTAAGAAAACATGCAAACGCTGCTACTTTAAAACTGTATTTTCAATGGTTTCTTAAAGGTCCCATGTCATGCTTTTCCGGTTATTACCCTTCCCCTTGTGTTCTGTAGCTTCTGCATGTAAACTGTCTGCAGAGTCCCAAACCCTCAAAGTAAAAAAGTACACCCTGTAGCGAGTAAAACTCTAACACAGAAAAGACCTGTCTATGCTGCCCCAGAACGCCTCGTTGGACATTTTATTTTTTCAATTTTTTTTCTTCCTGGTCTAAGTGACGTATGGACCAACATGGACCCACACCCACACTTTTTCTCAGGCTGTGAGTGTGTGTGTGTGCTCAGGCTGAGTTCATGCTGTTTCGCGGTGTCTCGCAGACCCCACGCAGCAACCAGGAAACCACACCAGTAATCCAGCTCACACTGTCCGCTCCTCGAGTCTCAAAGGGCGGAGCAGAGAGCCCCCCAACGTCCCGCCAACACGGCACCCAGACCCCACGCAGCATTCTCATCTGTTTGTCATTACTGGTATCATTTTCTGGTTGCTAACAAACGCCATTGTAACACATAAACACTGATGTTCAGCTGTAACGGTGGTGGACTCATCAGAACAGAGTGGGCGAGCTGACCAATCAGAGCACAGTGGGCTCACAGGGAGGGGGGGGGGGGGGGGGGGGGGGCAGGAGCTCCAACAAGCCGTGTAGGACAGAGAGTGAATACACATACTATACAGAGATGCTGTTTGAGAAACCAATGTGAGTTTGGAACATTGAACAATGTCAATCTATTCTAGTAGACCTCAACAATGGAACTATGATCAGTAGAAATGGCCATGACATGGGACCTTTAATAAAACACACAACCATCTAGTGTCTAATTAAGGCAATTACATTTCTCAGATACATTTTGTGTGTTTGTCTGCATGACTTTTAGAGGCTTTTCACTATGAATGATATTGAAACTGAACCAAAACAACATCTCACTACAAACATACATACATACATTTAGGACCGTATATGACAGGGAATATAAAAGAGATTAAACTATTACTGACATTTGAGAGATTGAGGCTATTACAAACATTCTCAAATAGTAAAAGGTAAGAAAGATTTCCTTGTTTTGGAGATATTGGTATTCAGAGTAGAGTACAAACACAGCACCACAACATGTGCATGCGGTAGACTGTTAAATATAAGCCCTTACATTGAATTCTCTTAATAAAAAACACAAACGTAACAGGTGTGATATGTCACGCGCACTGATCACTAGAATACAAACAGCAAAGTCAAAGTAACCTCAGGTAACACCAACTCCCTTTAATGATTTCAGGATCAAAGAACAGTGTTTAGTAGTTTCCAGAAACCACAAATATTTTATTCTCTACGCCAACAAAACTTTACAAATATGTATACAAGAATATATACACACAATTTGGAGAATTGTTCAGTGTTTTTAAGAGAGATATCAGTAGTTGTGCATACGTTAAAAATGTGATTATACATCAAAGTGGAATTTTATAAACATTTATCATCGTTTTCTGTACAAAGAGGACACTTGTGTGGTGTGCCTGCTGCGTGGTTTAAAAGTGGTGAAATTGTGTCATTTGAATCCTCGCTGAAAGCTACGTTTCAAGGCAAGACTTTAAGGTTCACGACCTGAGATGTATGCCAATGAAACCTTTAGCATGTTTACAAGCAGCTGCAGCCAAAACTACACAAACAGAGAAATAAGGAGAGATATCCAGCTTCCACCCAAGAGCCGTCTGATCCCCTCCAAGCTGAGAGAAATGTTTGGCTGCTGTTAATAATGACTACATCTTCCAGGCTATACTTCCTTTTAAGCCTGAGTTATATTATTATGAAATAGTCATTAGGCGCGTTCACACCGGAGTACTTTTCCCGTTTAGTTCCGATAGTCTGGAATTTTGCGTTCACACCAAAAAGAGAACTTAGTTCAGAGAACTTTTACCCCCCTTTTTAGTGCCTGCTAGAGAGGTGGGACTATCCTGGGGAGAAAAAAGTACCAATTTCTGATTGACTGGGCGAATTGCAAACCACGCCCAGTAAAACTCTGAAGCCGCCATTGTATTTGCTGGCATTAGCATTATTAGCATTAGCATCGCGCACCAACGCAGAGAGACTAACTTATGACAACACAAAAGAAAACATGGGAGCGGTGGAGATGAGGAGGTGTCGGCGTTCTGGCGATTTACTCTGAAGGCTTCAGTTGAAGCTGCTGGGAGTCCCAGCAGCTTCGACTGAAGCCAGTGCCCAACTCCGGGGACTTCCGGCCGGGGACTTCGGGTGGCAGTATACGCCGTGAAGTGGTTTGCGGCCTGCCAGTAAACCCAAAGCAGAAGAAGACGAAGTGACGTCAGCGGCTTCATTTGCGTAATCTTCCCTCAGGGACTTATTCCGGTGTGAACGCGATCTGTACTAAGTGCCATGGGGGAACTAAGTGCTGGGAACTAAGTGCTGGGAACTAAGTACGGCAAAGTACTTGGTGTGAAAGCGGCTATTAAGGTTCCCCCAAATGCCCCCATTTTTGGCGACTGGTGTACCTTTGAATCTTTGGCAAATTAAAATTACAAGAAAAGGAACACCTGATAAAAGGTAGATTCTGATTGGAGTTTTATTTCCAGAGTAAAACAATAAACTAATCACATTTATTTACAATAAATATAAGACAGATCTCATATCTCAACCCCTCCCAGATTACACGTTATTTACACAACCTGCCCCTCTCTCTGAAGCGGAGAATAAGGATAACAGATGGCTGAAGTTGCTCTGACTTACTCACCCAAAGCTCCTGATGAAATAATCTTATTTGGCTCATAAAGGAGTATCAAGGACGTCAGCCTCTTTGCATAAAACTCTAAGACAACATTGGTTTTCACGTCTTAAAGGAATAAAAGAAATGGTCTAATCAGTTTTTAAACAATCATGTAATCAAACATTTTGTAAAAACAGTAAAGTGAGCTTGATTTAAAAATAAAAACAAGTGAAGGAAACCGGGCAAACCCTCTTCTTAGGCCTTTGCCTTCGAGCCCAACGCTGTTCACTTTGGATGAAACAGTCCCAGGGAAAAAGATTGTCCAACGTGACCTCAAACACGATGTTCAGAGCTTTGACCTTTGCGAGGGAATTGGACAAAAGGAGAAGGAGGAGGGAGGTTCTGCCTCGATGGTTGGAAACGATCCACACTTCGAGCCCTGGAGAACGCAGACAAGGAAGTCAGACGGGACCTTTGGAGGGAAAGAGCTGGTCCTCGTGTCACTGGACGACCTCGAAGTAGTGCAGGATGGCCATGATGTGCTGCGGCATGAAGACGTAGCCGGTGTAAACAGCCATGCCGGCAACTGAGATCAACAGAGAGTCTGAAGAAGAGGAGTTAAGGAGGAACTGACGAAGGAGATTTAGGTTTCTACAGCAAGAAAGCATTATATACACAATCTGTAGGAGGCGGGAAAATAACTTGTATTCATTTAAAACGGAGCTTTTAAAGGTCCCCTATTATCCTCTTCTTCATCAATATATCACAGGTCTCAGATATATCCAGAGCCTGTCTCTGATTGGCTGAAACACCAAACAGATCATTGCAGCATTACCCATAATCCCCTCTGTTTCAGCCCTGTTTCCAAAGTGCTGATTCTCTGTCTGTTACTTTAGATGAAAATAAGGAGCCCCCCCCCCACGCCCCTCTGAGAGAGATTTGGTTACAAAGAACTCAATGGTGCTCTAGGAGGAGATTCAGGTGATAAGGTGGGGGGGGGGGGGGGGGGGGGGGGGGGGGGGGGTTACCTTGGTTGCTGATTGGCTAATGGTTACACAAGACAAAACATCGTTATGACATCAAGTGGCCAAAATCTGATCAGCTCATTTTCAGACAGGTTTTTATAGAAATGGATCAAAAAGAGAGAAAATCTTTGTTCCTGAAACTTTCAGAGTCTCTTTACACAGAGGGGACACATGTTGATGAAGAAGAGACATGAAGAAGAGGGGACACATGTTGATGTAGAAGAGACATGAAGAAGAGGGGACACATGTTGATGTAGAAGAGACATGAAGAAGAGAGGGGACACATGTTTGATTGTAGAAGAGACATGAAGAAGAGGGGGACACATGTTGATGTAGAAGAGACATGAAGAAGAGGGGACACATGTTGATGTAGTAGAGGACATGAAGAAGAGGGGACACATGTTGATTAAGAAGAAGAGACATGAAGAAGGAAGAGGGGACACATGTTGATGAAGAAGAGACATGAAGAAAGAGGGGACACATGTTGATTTGTAGAAGAGACATGAAGAAGAGGGGACACATGTTGATGTAGAAGAGACATGGAGAGAGGGGACACATGTTGATGTAGAAGAGACATGAAGAAGAGGGGACCACATGTTGATGTAGAAGCGACATGAAGAAGAGGGGACACATGTTGATGTAGAAGAGACATGAAGAAGAGGGGACACATGTTGATGAAGAAGAGACATGAAGACGAGGGGACACATGTTGATGTAGAAGAGACATGAAGAAGAGGGGACACATGTTGATGAAGAAGAGACATGAAGAAGAGGGGACACATGTTGATGTAGAAGAGACATGAAGAAGAGGGGGGCACATGTTGATGTAGAAGAGACATGAAGAAGAGGGGACACATGTTGATGTGAAGAAGAGACATGAAGAAGAGGGGACACTGTTGATGTAAGAAGAGACCATGAAGAAGAGGGGACACTGTTGATGTAGAAGAAGACATGAAGAAGAGGGGACACATGTTGATGAAGAAGAGACATGAATGAAGAGGGGACACATGTTGAATGAAGAAGAGACATTGAAGAATGAGGGGACACCATGTTGATGTCAGAAGGAGACATGAAGAAGAGGGGACACATGTTGATGTAGAAGAGACATGAAGAAGAGGGGACACATGTTGATGTAGAAGAGGACATGAAGAAGAGGGGACACATGTTGATGTAGAAAGAGACATGAAGAAGAGGGGACACATGTTGATGTAGAAGAGACATGAATGAAGAGGGGACACATGTTGATGTAGAAGAGACATGAAGAAGAGGGGACACATGTTGATGTAGAAGAGACATGAAGAAGAGGGGACACATGTTGATGAAGAAGAGACATGAAGAAGAGGGGACACATGTTGATGTAGAAGAGACATGAAGAAGAGGGGACACATGTTGATGAAGAAGAGACATGAAGAAGAGGGGACACATGTTGATGTAAGAAGAGACATGAAGAAGAGGGGACACATGTTGATGTAGAAGAGACATGAAGAAGAGGGGACACATGTGGATGTGAAGAGACATGAAGAAGAGGGACACATGTTGATGTGGAAGAGACATGAAGAAGAGGGGACACATGTTGATGTAGAAGAGACATGAAGAAGAGGGGACACATGTTGATGAAGAAGAGACATGAAGAAGAGGGGACACATGTTGATGAAGAAGAGACATGAAGAAGAGGGGACACATGTTGATGTAGAAGAGACATGAAGAAGAGGGGACACATGTTGATGTAGAAGAGACATGAAGAAGAGGGGACACATGTTGATGAAGAAGAAGACATGAAGAAGAGGGGACACATGTTGATGTAGAAGAGACATGAAGAAGAGGGGACACATGTTGATGTAAGAAGAGACATGAAGAAGAGGGGACACATGTTGATGTAGAAGAGACATGAAGAAGAGGGGACACATGTTGATGTAGAAGAGACATGAAGAAGAGGGGACACATGTTGATGTAGAAGAGACATGAAGAAGAGGGGACACATGTTGATGTAGAAGAGACATGAAGAAGAGGATTTTGCATAATAGGTGGCCTTTAAATGAATACATGTGTTCTGTGGACTGTAAAAAGTCACTAGCACATATATATATATATGCACTCAGGTTACTCAGGAAATAAAGATATGCAGGTGATCGTGCACGTTTACATGTACTGTAGTAACCTGGTTACTACATCAAATCTAGAACAATGAGTATATGGCATTAGTATACAAGTATTTAATGATTACCACCAGCATGATCCGTGAGCAGCAAATATGGGGGAACACTCGTAGTGATGAGAAACAGAAAAACAGTCACTCACACACCTCACCCTCAGGGCAAGAGGGGATGAGGGTGATACTAACTGTCGGAAGATGATTCAGCATCTACATAATGTGACACTGAAGGCCTCCACAGGTCAAAGTGCAGCCATAACACCATCAACTTTTACATTATTAACCACAATAGATGAAACTGGCCTCCCAAATAAAACATATTCTGTAACTTTTATTTGCCAGCATGTGTGACCTGATTGTGGACAGGAAGTTTGACACCGCCTGTCCTGACAATTCAACCTATTAAACGTTATTTTGCCTATAGTCAAAGGTAAGTTATAACTAAAACAAAGTGTTGAACACTCTCCAATACTTTAGCTCGTAGCCTTTAAATCGGCAATCAAGATTAAATGAATTGTTTGTTGTTCTTTAAATATATGTTTGAGTGTTGTTCTCCTCCTCCAACAGTTTTGAGTCAATCAAGCCAGGCTCCCTTTCAAATCTTATGTATTAAACGATTTTTCATTAATAAGTTCATCCACAGATCTCATGGAACAAATATTTACACTTGTTCTACAACTATAGGATCTGTCTCTTGAATCTGCATTATTAAAAAATCAAAACAATAATGACTTTAGTTAAAAATACACTTCAAACTAGTTGGCAACTGTCAATAACTTCTGATTCACTTACTACAATTTAACGAATACAATCCCCGATCGGTACATTATCTACATCCAGAATTAGTCTCTGATAGTGTTACGTTATTATGAGAGTGCTCTCATACTTATCTGATTCTGATTGTTTGATGTCCACATCTGTAGCCTGTTATTGTCTAATTATACCGCACTGTGAATGAATTAAAAGTAAATATATAAGTCGTCATGAACACATCTGTCCATCAGACAGAGGGCTGCTGTGCCTCCTGTCATCATTAATGGACGTCTCTTTAAAATGACCGCTCAGAGGAGAGGAGTTCTCATTTCTCTAACCGCCTGCTGCTTCCCCTCCTCTCTCCTCGGGTCCCCCGCTCGCATCTCCTGTGGACTAAGACACGAGGATAGAGAGGCGAAGTCCCTCCCTCTCCGGTGGAGCTCCATGGGACCTTATTTCGGAAAAAATATGTATTGAAGTCAATGGAGAGAGAAAGATTATCTTTCGATCCCGTTTGAATTGAGCCATGAATTACACACATGATGTTTGTCAATTTAAAAGATAATTTTACAAGTCAAAAAAATAAAAATGTGTCGTAAAACTGTGTAGTAACACTTTTTTTGTGTGAAACCTCTCAATGAACTACATCTCCCGTCTCTCACCACACACCCAGACGGCCGTCACGTTGGCACATTTCACTTCTTTCTTTCAGAATGAGGCGGAAAGTATTAAAAGAGGTGAAAATCACTCCAAGTCTGGGCATGTTGAGAGCTGTGCATACACACAAGGGGAGTGAGTCGGTTCCTAAGAGCCAGCATGCGGGACCGGCTTTACAAGGTTTCGGTGAGTAACACGAGTGTAATGTGTAACGTTATGACATCACTTACGCGACTCTGGGATTTGTAGTCTTTCTAGTTGCGTATTTTTCATAGTCTTATATTTCAACAGTTTTACGACAAACTGTGACTTTTTTGACATGGAAATTATTTTTTAAGATTGACAAACATCATATGTGTAATTCATGGCACAATTCAAACGGGATCGAAAGATAATCTTTCTCTCTCCATTGACTTCAATACATTATTTTTCCGAAATAAGGTCCCATGGGTCGGAAGGAGAAGGGCGGGACTTCACCTCTCTTTCGGAGTCGAGGAGGGGAGTTAGAGAAATGAGAAACCGTCGATGTGTTATGTGGTGTGCATAGTTTAACCTTTTCATATTTAAGTTTGTAGCAAGTAGTATCATTTTGTAAAAAGCCTAAATGAACGCCAACACAACCTCATTAGGATTATCAGGTAGAAAAGTAAGTGCTCTCTACTGACCAATAAACAAAACGTTATACTTCTTCTACAACTACAGGATTGGTGGCAATATGTGTACCCTCGGTGGGCTGATTTTAATTACCATGAAAGTAGGGAGGCTGTGGCTCAGTGGATAGTGTGCTGGACTTCGAATCAGGGGGTAGCAAGTTCAAACCCCACTGCAGTCAGCATGTCGTTGTGTCCCTGGGCAAGACACTTCACCCCAAATTGCTCCTGTGGGGATTGTCCACAGTACTGAATGTTATGCTTTGGATAAAAGCGACTAACAAGTGACATGTAATGTACTGTTGCAAATATTGGATATAGAGAGCACAACATGAACCTTATTACCTAAATTCTTGGCAAATAAATAGGCAATCTGTCCAACCCAGATGACCCAGAGTCAATTTAAACTTCTAAATTGACCAAAATTATTCAAAAATTAGCCCACAGAAAGTTCAGATATTGCCATTTTATGGTTAAAACGGCCATTTATGATGCTGAAAATGTCAGAAATGGACTCTGCATCCTCAATAACCAGAAGAAAACCACTCCAAAAACAAAACTGAAATACTTCTTCTACAACTATACGAGTGGTCTCTTGATTCGGCATTATTACAAAATGAAAACAATATTTGTTCTTGTCAAGAATACACCTAGAACAGGTTTAACGACTAGCAATATACGTATACATTTCCTGCTACTGTCAAATATATATATACTATAAGTCCATATACTACCTACCTACCTACCTACCTACCTACCTACCTATCTCTCTATCTATCTATCTACCTATCTATCTATCTGGTACATTATACACACGCAAAGTATATGTAGTTATTCAGTAAAAAAGTTAGTGCATTATCAGAGCTAAAAGCTAGGTTAGCTCTACAGACGTTGTAGCTACAGTTAGCACATTAGCTCGTTTAGCTGCAGTTGTTTGTAAAAAGGATACTAAACACCGTCCTCTCCCAGGGCTCCAGCATGTACAGCGCCGTCACCAGAATATACTGGTAGTAAAACCACGATAAACTCTTCCAGCAGTCTCCCAGAGCCATAGTTATTATAACTTTTACCAACGCCGACTTCTGTTTCTTTTTATCTCAATGTTTCTTTTCCTCCTTTCTGCGCGAGACGACGTAAAACCATAGCGTAAAACATAAGGTGCTCGTTTTCAGCCAATCAGAGTCCGGCGTTCGGGCGTGCGGATGTGACGTAGGGTAGGGAGTTCCAACATCCGGGAATCAGAATATTTTTTTATTTAATCTACATTCAATTCATCCGTTCGATTCAATTGTCTGTCTTTCATAAACCAGTAAATGGAAAAGCGACTGCAACATTTCTTTGTTTTTTACTTTAATAAAAAGGCCAGAGGATCTTTGGAGCGAGGGGCGGGGCAGAATTCCCGGAAGTAGTTTCAAAATAAAAGCCCATGTCTGATAAACGCACGGATGTATAATGAGAACAAACGACACTTGAGATATAAGGCTTTAAGACCTCGTTAGAATAACAAGAGAGAGGCCGTAGAGACAGTCTTTAATTCCCTCTCTCAGAGTCTATATTGATAAGACTAGCTTTCCATAGTTAGGTTTATTTTGAAAGGTATTGACGGATCAATATCTCGAAACGCATCTGGAGACTGGTTCCCTGAATATGGAATTAAGCCTCGATATATGTCTAACTAACTGTGTGTGTGTGTGTGTGTGTTTGTGTGTGTGTGCGCGTGTATGTGTGTGCGTGTGCGTATGCGTGTGTGTACCGTGACTTTCTGTTTGATAAGTTACAGGGCCTTTAAACATGAAACTATAAATTTCATCTTAAAAAGTTGGAAAGCTACGTCTGATATATTTGTATTGGGCGTGAGAATAGTCAGCAGTTAAAATGTGACTAAAGAAATGTCAAACACACGTTCATTTAGAAATAATGTCACCATTACACAACTTGTTAAACAGAATGCACTTGCAGGTTTATTAGGAAGCAAAGAATATCCTTCTCAGTACACGTTGTTCACAATTCTTTAAAAAAAAAAAAAGGTTTCTAGGCAAGTAACGAACTTTAAGCCCCTCTTTTTGCCATTCATAAGCAGTACAAACACCTGTCATACATAACATCCCATAATGTAGTGTTATGCAGCTATGAGGACATTCTTAAGTGTTTATTAAAGGACAGGTTGTCAACAATTATAACTTCTCCTCTGAAAACATATTCAAATTATTACAACTGGAGTGTCCGTCCTCATTTATTTATTATGTATATACTGATTATGAATGCTAATTAGCCAAGTTACCGAGCCATATCAAAAAGAGTCGAGTGTGGTGTCAAAACAAATTGAGTATCAATCAATATATCACAAGTAATAATATTCTGCCTCAAATGTGGGTTTTATTATTTATACGGTTCAGTACTGATCGTAGGAGCTGCAAAAAGGAGTTGTGTCAAATTCCAGTTTCTGTGAGATATTTAAAAAGGTCACACATCGATGATATCCCGCTGACATTCCCAAGCTATTCAGATGGTTTCCGTCTCTTCAAGCAGGTTAAATAAACCAACGATGATATCAACTCAGAGTGTCTATAATCAAATTTGTTTCTGGCCTTTCAGACAGAAATCATCAGTCCTCCTCCTTCTCCTTCTTCTTCTTCAATCCTGTAGCTAAAACAGCTGCAGTGAGGTGAAAAGTCACGGACAAACCCCCTGAAATAAAAACCTCCCTGCCGGTGTCTCTCAGCAGTGGCTGGCCAGGATGTTGAAGAAGTGGTAAACCTCGTCTTTATCGAACACGGCGACTTCTGTGGAGCATTCTGTGCACCAGACGGGGTGGTAGACCTCCTCAGAGTTCATGCCCGCGGGTTGAGGCTCCGGAGTCTCGTCAGCTATGCTTTCTGTTTCCGTTTCCGCTCTCTGTCCCCTCCGCCTCTTCCTCTTCCCGCGCTTCAGGTCCTGCTGGATCTTGTAGCGCAACACCTCGTCTCTCTTCACGATGCAGTTCATTACGAACATGGCTCGGTACTGCGTCTGGTACTTATCGTGCCTGAGAGGAAACACACACAAACACATCAGCGGAGGGACAGTTTGCAGATTAGTTTGAACACAAAGGCAGCAGGATAATCATCATTAAACCCTGCTTCTGGGGCAATAACTGTTTAGGGCTACAACTAAAAACCTTATTATCTGATTCATTTATTTTTGATAGTGTTTAGTCTAAAGTTTAAAGGTCACCTATTATGCAAAATCCACTTCTTGTCTCTTCTACATCAACATGTGTCCCCTCTTCTTCATGTCTCTTCTTCATCAACATGTGTCCCCTCTTCTTCATGTCTCTTCTTACATCAACATGTGTCCCCTCTTCTTCATGTCTCTTCTTCATCAACATGTGTCCCCTCTTCTTCATGTCTCTTCTACATCAACATGTGTCTCCTCTTCTTCATGTCTCTTCTACATCAACATGTGTCCCCTCTTCTTCATGTCTCTTCTACATCAACATGTGTCCCCTCTTCTTCATGTCTCTTCTACATCAACATGTGTCCCCTCTTCTTCACGTCTCTTCTACATCAACATGTGTCCCCTCTTCCTCATGTCTCTTCTACATCAACATGTGTCCCCTCTTCTACATCAACATGTGTCTCCTCTTCTTCATGTCTCTTCTACATCAACATGTGTCCCCTCTTCTTCATGTCTCTTCTTCATCAACATGTGTCCCCTCTTCTTCATGTCTCTTCTACATCAACATGTGTCCCCTCTTCTTCATGTCTCTTCTACATCAACATGTGTCCCCTCTTCTTCATGTCTCTTCTACATCAACATGTGTCCCCTCTTCTTCACTGTCTCTTCTTACATCAACATGTGTCCCCTCTTCCTCATGTCTCTTCTTCATCAACATGTGTCCCCTCTTCTTCATGTCTCTTCTACATCAACATGTGTCCCCTCTTCTTCATGTCTCTTCTACATCAACATGTGTCCCCTCTTCTTCATGTCTCTTCTACATCAACATGTGTCCCCTCTTCTACATCAACATGTGTCCCCTCTTCTTCATCAACATGTGTCCCCTCTGTGTAAAGAGACTCTGAAAGTTTCAGGAACAAAGATTCTCTCTTTTTGTCCTGATCCATTTCTATAAAAACCTGTCTGAAAATGAGCTGATCATAACATTACATGTCACTTGTTAGACGCTTTTATCCAAAGCGACTTACATACTCAATACTGTGAGCAATCCCCACAGGAGCACTTTGGGGTGAAGTGTCTCAGGGACACAACGACATGCTGACTGCAGTGGGGTTTGAACCTGTGACCCCCTGAACCGAACACCAATGCACTGCACCACACGCCTGATCAGATTTTGGCCACTTGATGATGTCATAACGATGTTTTGTCTTGTGTAACCATTAGCCAATCAGCAACCAAGGTAACCCCCCCCCCCCCCCTTATCACCTGAATCTCCTCCCATACCCCTTTCACACCAACGGTGTTTCAGGGCCGGTTCGGTGCTGGTGCTTGAAAAGCACCGGGTTTTCCTGTTCACCCCGCAGCGGAGCAGCGTCATAGCTCCGGAGTCCGGTTCGTTTCGAGCACCAAAAAGTTGTCCGTCTAGAAGCAAGAACCGCATACGTCACGCTTACGTCGGAGGGGGGCGAGATTAACCTGAGCTAACAGTTAAAGGCGAGTACGGCAAATAAAAGTTGTAACAAGCAGTAGCGCTGAGCAAAGTGACTAGAAGGCAAACCACACACTTATAAACAAACACACTTTATAAAGTCAGGCAACACTAACCAGGCTTCGTGTGATTCTGTTTATTTGTACCTTACTTTGACCATCCGTTCGCTGTTATTGATCATTGTGGAGAGCAGGCAGACGTTTTGTTTGTTATTATAGCAGCTATCGGATGGAATCAATACATGGGCTGCACAGGTTGTCATGTCCGACTATCACAAGTAGAATCATAATGAAAAATACGCCGGTAAAATGTGCCTGTAGAAAACGGCTTATGCCACAATAGGATAGCAACAAGTAGTCAAGATATAGTCAGTTTAGCTTTGGTTGCTATGCCAACATCACCCATGTTATACCAGAGAAACTTTCATAACAGCGTTGTGATGCCAAACAGCGTCAATTCAGACTGACACACATTCACTTAAGGGGAACTGGGGATATGTATCAGCTGCAGTGTTGGGCAAGTTACATTACTTATTACTGTCTTTTTTAAGTAATAAGTTGCATTACAATATTACTGTCTCTGAAATGTAATGAGTTACTACTTTTATATTACTTTTGAGGTACTTTCACCAAAATAACCGCAAAATAATGGCTAGGTATTTTAAATGCTAGCATGTAGTTTAGTGCAGCAACTGTTTGGCCCTTAAGGCTACCAACAACTTTTATTACACGGCTTAGTTGAATACTCAATTCTGATTGGTCAATTCCGTTGCTAAGAAGGATCAAGAAAGAGAAAGTAAAAGACGGAGCGCTGGACGTCAGATAAATGAACAGAAGAAGACAGAGAAGAAGTAAACACTAACAGGAACAAGGTATGGGCTCTGCAGTGTTTAAGGACTTGTTTGTGGATCAGAAACTGTGACCAGAGTTGGACAGTGCTGCCATAAAGTTGTTGTCGCAGTTCCAGCCGTTGGTGCGCCGTGGAACGGAGGGGTTTTTTTTTTTCTTAGCGGAAGAAATACGATCATTTTAAGTCAATAAAATAATTTCAATTAATATTGGGAGTCGATTCCTTAGTTTGTTTACTAGTGATGGCAGTTTGACACTGAAGCTTCGAACGGAGCTTCAACCCTGGACTTCCTATTCCATAGAAGCAGTGATTCGAAGCCTGCTTCAAATCACGTGACTTATGACGTCCGAAGCAGCAACTGCTTCATTTCCTGAATGAATCACTTGACTTCCAGCACTCTCTAGTCTCTTCTCAATAACCCAATACACACAATTATCAACCTTTAATTGCAAATAGAACATGATATTCAGTCTTGTGTGTGTGTGCATCAAATATTTTTCAAGGCAAAGATACGGTAAACCCACTGCAGCCTTGCACTTCGCCAGGAGAGGTCGCTGTAACTGAAGCTTCGAGAAATGAACCTATTTCCGACACAATTGTCCAAGTGGTTCGATGCTTCATTCAAAGCTTCATTTTGCCATCACTATTGTTTAGTATCTGGCCGTGTAATAAGCGGGATAATGTGCAGCGACTTGGTCATTATGGGGAAAAGAACACCCTTCAGGCTCATCAGCCTGACTGACTAATCTACCCGCACAATGCACAATCTCTGGTGTCGGAATGTCTCGCGATGTTAGTCAATTCGTAAAAAACAAAACACCATTTCATTTCGGGTTAAAATGTGTTGTAACTGCGCTGCTGAGAATTGTAACCGGTAGTATATTACCCAAATGTCATTAGTAATGAGTTACATTACTTCGTTACAGCAAAAAGTAATACATCACTGTAACTACTGTAATTGCGTTACACCCAACACTGATCAGCTGCTTGTGTGACAGTCAGACAGTGAATACTTTACAGCGGCCGCTGCCGTGTGAGCTAACCCGGAGCTAACGGGAGAATACACTCCCGTGGAAGAGCAGCCAGCACTGCAGCGGTCGCTAAATGCCGCTGAAACACATTAATAAACAATGAACCACGGCACTCTGGAGAAAAGTATAAGGTTGGAGAAGTCGTTATTTAATTTAATCTGGCTTCGTATGATTAAAAGCAACGCAGTCCCCGGCCCGTTGTTGTTGTGAGCTCCGTAACGCCGTTGGGGAGCAAATCAGCGACGTAAACAGTGACGTCATGACACAGCAGCGGCAGCACCAGTCGGGCTCTGGGCGGTGTGAACAAAACGCGGGCTGAAAAGAGAAACCGGTTCCGAACCTGAAAAGCTCTAGCTCGGAGCTAGAACGGGAACCGCGTTGGTGTGAAAGGGGCATTTAGTGGTAACTCCAGGCGTGTGTTACCTGCTGTTGCTGGGGTCCATGTTCCCTCCAAGGTCTTGATGGTGGTGCTGAGCTCGGCCTCCATCTCTTTCTCGAACTCATCCTCGCTCGACGACTCGCTCTCCCCCGTCAGATATTCTCTGATCAGCTTCTTCTTCTGCTCCGGCGTCCCGTTGAGCAGCACCTCCAACTCGTCCTCCGAACTGAAACACAGCGAGAGAGAAGATGAGATAAGATGAAACTTTATTTTATCCCCGTGGGGAAATTCAGGCGTTAATAACAGCAACAGGATTCAAATGCACGCTGAAGGCTCTTTGAGCATGTTGCAATTATTGGAGAAAATGACTTTGGGCTCTCTTAATTTATGCACAAGTACTTCTGCCAGTGGTGAAATGTAATTGAGTAAATCAGTTACATTTCTAAAGCACTTTAAAAGGATATTAACATCCCTTCTACTGCGTGTGTTTATTAATAGCGTTGACTTTTAAGTATTTAACAAGCAGACATTAGCAATAGAAAAATAACTATATAAACCCGCTCAGCTATCCTCTTCACTAACTAATTATAACAAGATGACTTCAATAAAACGCTACGTACAGATGAACAGTTTAACCTTATCATTAGCTCCTGTATTCCAACAGTCGCTAGCTAGAAACCGTTCCCTGTCTTCAACGTGTTTGAGTTTGTTTACATGTTAGCATTTAGCTAGCTAGCCTCATGGTGCTCAAACTACACCGTATTTTGAGCTGTTTTTATTATTTTCCAACCTGCTCTCAGCTCTCTCCTCATCGCTGAGCTCCTCGAGTTCATACGAATCAAACTCCTGTGGTTTGTTCATTTTAACTGCTTGAAAAAGTCCAACTAAAGTGCTACGACATGAGCTAGTGACAGCGACCATGGAACGTTTACTTCCGGTTCCTCTTCTTCTTCTTCTTTAGTAGATTAAACGGCTGACGACCACAGGGAGAGAAAACACTATCGCCATCTGTTGGTAGGACGAATACAACACATACAAAAAAGATGATAACATGTTTTTCAAATTAAATTAAAATAAATAATAATGAAATAATAATAATAATATAAATAAAATAGCAAAATTATCTTCCAGCGATTACCACACTATTTTTTACAATTATGCTTTAAGGTTTTAACATTTTATTAAATAAGGGGACCTATCATGCAAAAGTCACTTTTTGATGTCTTTTCTACATCAACATGTGTCCCCGGTGTGTCGGGGAACTCATGCAGCGTCAGGAAATAAAACCCTCTCTCTTTTCCTCCGTACCCAAATCTCTAAAAACGGGGAGAACAACGGAGCTGATCCAGATTTGCGTCCGATATGATGTAATATCTGAAATGTGGACCCACGGCCCTATCAGAAACGTTGCTATCAGAAACAATGCCCGACTGTTTTGGACGTAATATGGTCGGTGTTTACATTAGCATCGCTAACACTCAGAGCTAACCTGTACTGGAGAGCATGTGTGTGAAGAAGCAGGAAATAAAAAGGAACTCACCTTGTGGTATAACCGGCAAGAGAGAAAGCCTTTGAGCTCCATACTGTTTCAGAAACAATCCTTGATAATCCATGATATGGCGTTTCATCACGGCAGTATTTAGTTTAGACGGTAGCTGCCGGGTCCCCCATGAGCTCAGCCCCCTACTTTTTTATTTTTTAAAGTTTTATACCCCAAATCAGCACTTTAGAAACAGGAAGTGAAATAGAGGGATATGAGGCATGGCTAGAATGGGTGACCTGTTTGGTATTTGGAGCAAAACACTTTAAAGACATGTTTTTTATATATTCTTATATATCTGAGACCTATGCTATTGCCTACAAATAGCATGATAGGTGACCTTTAAGTAAGAAATGCTGGTTTTGAGGATGTGATATTTGACGAAAAGACACAAATATTAATTAATCAAATAATCAATCAAGAGCTCTTTCTTAGATATGTACCAATACAAGTTAAGACCAGTGAAACAAATAAATAATTGAAATGTAATTTCTCCTGTCTGTCATTCAAACACTTTCTAAATATAGTTTCCTACCAATATTTAAAAAAGGCTCAGGTAAAACCACCTGTTAAACCTGTCTTGTATCACAACATTTTGATTTGTTGCAAAGCACTGCAATAAAACCAATCATGGGACTCGTCATTAGCTTATTGACATATTCCCAAATTATGTATTGATATAAAGTGTTAAAAATGTGAAGTTCCTCTTTGATTCAGCATCCCTGTTGAATCAGTAGCATCACAAACTGGATTCACTATTCTCACATCCTGACATGTGAGCCTGCAAACTGCTGCTGTTACAACAAACCAACACTAAGTGGAGCCAACAGATCACACATTTACATCTCGTCTGTTCTCTCAAAGGTCAGGGCCGCTAAAGATCCATGTGAAGGCCGAGTCCATGAAATGATAAATCAGCGGGGAAGGAATGGTTCAATGGAAATCTGATAATTGCTTTTAGCACCCGAAATGTTGATCTTGCTGTTTCCTTTGACCTTTGTGTTAAAGTCAAAATGATTGTACCTCTGAACAGGGATGAAGATATCTTTTCTAACTGATGTTCAAGTCCTCATTCTCTACTCATCATGCTATTGACCTCAGACTCCTACTGGGTTTCTCTGCCTGTGAGTGTATTAACGAAAAACACTCCAACCTGAGATTTAATCAGAGCGATACAGCATCAATATATGGATCCAACAATCAGGGCCGTCCCTCCCTACAGGCCGATCATGCGGACTGCGTGGGGCCTCACCTTACGGAGGGGGCCTCACCTTACGGAGGGGGCCTCACCTCACGGAGGGGGCCTCATCTTGCGGAGGGGGCCTCATCTTGCGGAGGGGGCCTCATCTTGCGGAGGGGGCCTCACCTCAAGGAGGGGGCCTCATCTTGCGGAGGGGGCCTCATCTTGTGGAGGGAGCCTCAACTGAGCCGCACCTATGCGCTTATGTGGCGCAATTAGTGTGGCGCGGCACGGGGGACACGGCTCCACTAGCACCGTCCCCCCCGTTGACGCTCGCAAAACAGAGGGCCTCATCATATAACTTTGCGTGTGGACTCAAGTTGGCCAGGGACGGTTTAGATTCAGTATCTTCCTACATCTCTACATTTTCAGAAGACCCATTTAGAAACATTGTTCCATTATAATGAATCTGCCTAAGATACTTTGATGATTACATCTTATTAATGCACTGCATTATATCCTCATATATTCTATAGCTAATTGATCACTTCAGTGTTTGGAGGGTCGTCTCTGGTGCGTCATTTATTAATAGTCTTGCTTTGGTCCTGCAGCTACACACACCAGATTATTCTTTATTTCAACAAGGACCATGCATACAAATACATTCATCTCAGAAAAGAGAAGAGATGAATTATTCTAGATTTGAGCTAATAGCTCATTTCCATCTGCAGTCCTTAGGTGAGATTTAGGCCTTTGTTATGCTGAATGATATTGGATCTCTAGGATCCTTAAGTTAAATGAAGCTGTCGAAGCTTTTACATAGCAGTGACATATCATGCTAATTTCAAAGATCATATGTGTGTCCTCTACTGTGACATGTCTCCGTGCTTTAATGTTTAAAAACGGCTTTATTTTTCTCATACTGCCTCTGCTGCAGCACCTACTTAGGGAACTTTGAGATGCAAGCCTTTGCAGACATGCACTAAAACCTAAATAACACACGACAGGAACAAAACAAATCTGAACAGGGCCTCTTTAAAATCAGTCAACGTGCAAAATAATTTTTTTCACCCTTATTGTTGCCATACTGCTTCAGCGACATGTGGTGATAACACGACGATAACCTGAGTTACCAGACGTCATGTGTTAAAAAATAACTGCATGCAAGTGTGAGTGTGTGTAATGTTGCGTCAATATTTTCACAGAGAGAAACCGTGGCTTGTTGCTGAAACTGAGACAGTCTGAAGGCCTCCATCTGTTCTGACCGTGTTGTGTTTTGTGACTGAGCTCTGAATCCTCCTCTTCTCTCCACACACACACACACACACACACACACACACACACACACACACACACACACACACACACACACACACACACACACACACACACACACACACACACACACACACACACACACACACACACACACAAAGTCTAACAGTGACACATCCTAACCCCGTCGCCTTCCAACACAGCTCCACATAATTATCCCTCAGCACCGAAAGTCTGTTTTTTCTTTTCTTACAGGAAATTGCTGTGTATCGCTGCAAATCCATTGAAGGCTGCAAACAAAGGAGGAAAAGCAACTGTGGCTGCAGCCTGGATTCCTACACACACACACACACACACACACACACACACACACACACACACACACACACACACACACACACACACACATACACACTCACACACAGACGTACACACACACTGTCCATTGTCTTCTCCTCCATTATCAAAGCCAACAAAGTGTTTCTCTTTCCTCCTGTGTGTGTTTTGTGGTGGCAGTGAAGCAGACACCCAGCGGGAGAGCCTGCCTGCCAGGAGGGGGACAGATGGGTGTAATTTTGTTATTTTTACCTCCTCGGTGAGCTCGCTGCTAGCTCGGGGAAATTAGCATCACACCTGTGCGTAATTGGCTAAATTAGCTT